TGAATCACGACTATTGTTAGCCAATTAGCTCTAGCTTCCACTGTTTCTATCCTCTTTCTATCTATGATACCAAGTATATGACTTGCTATGCTCTAGTCTCTTGTATGCCAACCCACAAACGTTGTGGTTCAGCATTGAACCTAACAAAAGCAAGCAGTACCACAACATTTGTGGGTTGGCACACAAGCAACTAGGGCATGGGAACTCAGAGACTTGGTATTAGAGATAGAAACAGGTTAGACGCGGCGACGATGGGAGCTAGTGGGCTGACAGTAGGTTTTAGAAAAGACGTGGTCCATGTGGCAAAGGCCTGACCATGACACTTACTCAGAGGCTTGAGTCTCGAATTACTCACCCAGCCGCAGAGGAGGGGTAATAACACCTCGAGTAGCAGATAGAGAGAAATACTTAAACCAGAGAGATCGCAGATGGATTCTACGGGGCAAGAGAGAGACTGTGGTAAGACCTAGGGAAGGAGGACTGCGTAACAATTTGGCAGACTCTGATCAAAATTCCCAGCACAAGGATGAAGGGGGGTGAGAAGGCCAGCGTAAGTGAGGAGGGTTCTCATTAAAGCTGCTCAAAGGGCACACCGTACCACATTTAATAAGGCAAGTAAAAATTGTGACGGTAAAGGTGTGATAGGGGGGGGTATAGGAAATGTGAATAGGCCAGGGAAGAAGGGGAGATACCATAACTGTTTAGCACACGTTTGGTCAAAGTATCGGCTTTACTTGTCTCTTTGATGAGCTGTAATATGGTACTACGAATGGCGAGACTCACTGACGATGCCGACTACGATGCCGGAATGTACCACGTCCACGGTCCGACTTTGGAAATGATGATGCATACAATTGACTCCGGACAAAGTGCGTTCCTCTAAGTCTTCCTACCAATATGACCAAGTTGCGAAAACAAGGTCAAACAAATTCTAAGAAATATTTATGTTTGGTTGATAGATTGAAGGATAGAGGGGGTGTTGAGCTGCCATCTGAAAGAAGGCGACTCAATTTGTCTGCTCGGTAATGATTCTAACTTCACTCGCACTGGTCCAAGATTTTAGATTAAGCTTATCGACCAAACCAAATGTACCAGACTACGCAGCCCTAGTCATGCCTTTCCTTGGGCGGTTAAACAATAATGACCCTAAACTGAGAGTTTAGAACAAGTGCTTTCGTAAGCTGGCTTACCCACTTACAAGCTTACATCTCATCGTCTGAGCCATACTTGTTTACGGACTTACGCAATCTCAAATGGGCTTTTTTTGGGTCATTAAGCCTTGAGGACTAGAGAATGACATTACTTTTTTTTATCACTCTGATTTAGGATTGGTATTGCGTATAGACGTTAACACAC